TGTGTTGTTATTATTGAATATAATGTGAAAAATCCATAAAATATGTCACTTATTTATGTCAGTTTACTCAATGATAGAAGAGGACTACCTTAAGAAACAATGCTGGCAAATAACTAGTGTACCCAGGAGCGGAGTCAAGGGGGGACCAAGGGAGGGCCACTGCCACCCTAACAAAATCGCCCCGGTGAATAAATAACAAACGCAGCCAGCCAGTGGTTTTGGTGTGCCAACCCAGTAGGGGTAGTGTTAGGGTTTCCATTGTCATGTCAAGGCTGATTTTTGAAGGCACGCCACGGACACGCCGTTTGACTGAATGTACAGATTTTAATAACGTAACATCCTGAACTTCTCTGGATTGTACTCATCAATTCTGAAGTCGTTCTGAATTGCCGGAAATGCGACACAGTTTGACATTCGATTCAAAACGGCCAAATTTGACTGCACGCCACAGGCACGCCATTTGACGTACAGTCACAAATAGCACAACTCAGTGGTTTGTTTTGACTGTACTGACCAATTTTGAAGTAGATCCGATAAATTACCTAAGAGGAGTTCGAGCAAATACAACACGAAAAAGTCACAAAATGACCACAAAATTCAAAATGGTCGATTTCCTGTTGGGTTTGGGTTATGGGTCCAAGAGGCTTTTTTACTTGTCTGATTATGATACACATGTGTACCAATTTTTGTACATGTCGGTCGTACGTGTCTTGGGGGCTGATTCTGGGGGGCGTGGCTAAGCCATTATGCCTGCATATGTACAGGAGCAAGACAATACGTAACCCTTCGCCTAGACTAAATTTTGTGCAAAGTTTCATGAGTTATCGGCCATGTTTAGTCGCCCAAATACTTCAAATGTTACAGTTTTTCTCAGTCGCTTTGGTGCATTTCTCACATCACTATTTACATTTGCACAACAGTTAATGCATTTCTCAAAACAATTAGTACAAACTGCAAAACCTAGTTGATAACCTGCAAAAGCGTGTCACTTGCTCAAAATGGATAGCTCATTCCTCAAAAGCAACTATTCATGTCAATTAAAGTGTCAGTGTCATCAAGATGAAAAGTCCTGACACCATTGTTTATGAACAAGATAGTCAAATGGCTTTGTCATGTTTTCATTATGACAGTTTACTCTGTAAATGTTTTCCAATGCAAAAAAGTCAGATCTCGGTGACACTACCTGAAAATGCTCAAGACAGCACTATATACTATTTGCACAGCCATTTGAAAACTACAGTAAATTTAGACATTACTGTATTTAGTGAGGTAACTGAGTACAAGACACTGAATATGTATGTTTCAAGTGTTTACTGCATATGCTCTTTGCAATTCTAATTTGTTCACAGCATTGTGCAAAAGAAAAAATACACCCTTATTTACAACAAACATAAACTCCCTTTGGATAGAGCTGTGCACAACTGTAAACAATATCGCAGTACATATTGGAACTGAACATACAACATACATAGTACTGTAAATCATTCATGCACATCCAGACGTTCTTCTCTGTCTGGCCACATAGTTTCATCTACATCACAGTGAATATCATCTCTTGCAATGCAGCGAGGAAAGTATCTCCTCGAGTGGCGAATCCACCCTCTGCAGGACTCTGCACATGCTGCATCCATGGCCACTAGCAGGGCCATTTGGGTATGTGGATGCCGGTCATATACCTTCCACCTCCAGGAAGAGAAAAAATTCCTCTATTGGATTTAGGAATGGTGAGTAGGGAGGGAGATATTCCACCAGCATCCTATCATGTGCTGCAAACCACTGTCTGACGACATCTGAGTGGTGAAGACGCACATTATCCCAAACAACAACATGCTTATTCAGATGGTCTCCAGTTAGACCCCTCTCATTCTCAGGGATTATGTCCCTGTAAAGAGTGTCTAAAAAAGCAGATGTTGGGTGATGTATGGACCAAGATATGGGTGAGGACGCCGTTTTCTGAGATGGCTGCACACATAGTAATATTCCCTCCTCGTTGGCCTGGGAGATCAATGGTTGCTCTCTGTCCAATGCGATTCTTTTTCCTTTTGCCGACTGAAACCCGCCCATCGTTTTGTGTGCAGCGGTTACCTTTTGCCAGATCCACTACACTTTTATTACAGAAGAGGAGGGGAGAAAAAATAAAATTTTTGTAAATGCATTTTGACACATATTGTCAGCTGTGAATACTCATACAAGCTGTATATGAATGTAGTGCACGACACTACAAAAGACGGTTTGACAACATTAGAGTATGCATAGAACACATACATGTTTTACCTGTACATACTGGTGACGGATCTCCTTCACTCTGTCGCTGTTCCGTTCAAATGGCACATTGTACAATTGTTTCATGTGCATTTCATTTCTCCTGAGCACTCTGTCAACTGTAGTGATTGAAACAGATTCAATATTCCCAAAGACGTTGTCATCCTCTATAACAGCACTTTGTATCTCTCTCAGCCTTATGGCATTGTTTGCAATCACCATTGCACAAATGGCTTCCTCTTGTTGCGGAGTAAAAAGGGGCCCTCTTCCACCTCTGCAAGGTTGTCTTGCAATCCTATGTGGTGCAGAGTAAAATTACAGTAAATATGGCAAATCTTTACTGTAACACTACTGTACACTACAATACACTAAATCTGTGATGCAGTAAAGTTGTAAGTCTAAATGTAAAATGTAAAAAGTGACAAGTTCTTGTCCCACTGCAAGCTTCATGTATGACACAATGACAGTAGTGCAGTGCAGATTGTTTGGTGCTGAATTACTGTCCGTTTATACACACCTGTTCTCCTGACGAAATGTTTGAATCATTGAATTTACAGTGGTTCTCCCAACATTTGGCTGCACCCTTCCACCAGCCTCAGCCATTGTGAGGCCGTGATTAACAACATGATCCACAATTGTAGCCCTGATTTCATTAGGAATCCGCATATGTACATGGCCTCTTCTTCCTCTTCCCCTGTTTTGTCCCCTTCCCCTTCCCCTTCCTCCCCGCACCCTCACCCCTCTTCCACAAGGCTGACCTTCCATTTTTGTGTTACAGTATTGTAGAAATGGTACACACTATGTCCTGCTTGGTTCATATATGCTTGTGAAGTGGGGGTTTATGGGATTCAGCTCTGAGTGATTGTAGAGAAGTGGCTTATCATTGGTTGCAACTAATGCTTCACACACCCCTTCTCATCAGTGAAAGCTGAGGTTCACCTGAGAGAAATTGTTCACTTTAGGAGACATTTTCAGGAAAAAAAAGATTCCAAAAAATTTATAAAATTTGCTTGACAGATTTTGACAACTAGTTCAACATTTTTGTATGTAATGACCCAAGCAATGAAATGAGGACTATTAGTTTTATATGGAATGACTATTCAGCATTCATAAGTATAGTTAATTTTGACTGACATGACATAAGCAAATGATAATGTTATAAAACAGCAGAGAGTTGTATGAAAGCAATTGATGCATGTCCAAAAGCATTTGCAATTTGTTGGAAGGAATGAGAAACTGCTACTATGATGTGCACAAATGACTAAATGTTGTGGAGGTTGAACTAACTGTTGTGCAAATGTTAATAGTGATGTGAGAAATGCACCAAAGCGACTGAGAAAAACTGTAACACGAAACCGTGTCGCTATGGCAACGTGGTTCTATGAAAATTCTTAAATTCATAAAATGTCATCGTCATCATCTTAATGAACTTCTGACAGAATTTCAGCTGGTCAAACTGCTGGGAGATATACATAAAAGTATAAAACTGACATTTCCTCTCGCCACTAGGTGGTGCTATCACTACTACTGAATATTATCACATAGATGTGTTCAGGGCAGGACTTGCAGGGTTGTGACAACTTCCTGTTTCATGGCAAAACTTCAATATTCTGCGCCACACCACGGGCATGCCGTTTTACACACAGTCACAAACAGCACAACTTTGAATCGTGAATGTCTTTAGATTGCAGTGTCCAAATGTGAAGTCGATCCGATCAATTCCCTAGGAGGAGTTCGTTAAAATGGCCGCTAAATCCAAAATGGCCGACTTCCTTTTGTGTTTGGGATATGGCTCCAAGAGGATTTTTTTGTACGTCAGGACATGATCTACATGCGTACCACTTTTCATAGTCATAGGTGAAACGTGCCCTTGGGGCTGTTCAATAGTTTTCACCATGACTGACGTGGCAGATTTTCAGGACTTTACAAATATGATAAAGCCTCCAAAAAGGCAACTGAAATGCCTGAATACTAATAATTCCTACAAATACAATAGGGCCTTTGCACAGTCAGTGCCCTGCCCCTAAAAAACACACAGCTGGCTTTACTATATTATACAAAACGTTCTCTTTACTTATAACATTTGAACACCTTGAAATACAGCCTATCACATTCATATATTTAATAAAACATACGATTGCTGCATTTACTCAAAGATGAATAAAAGCCCTTGCTTTGCTCCTCCTGTTTTAACAAATAGTAATCTATTCAAAATTGAGAATATTAATTGCAAAAGCTGAAAAACATAACAAATAGTTACAAAGTCAGAAATTGCACTGTCCACAGAGATTACTCATCCACTTGAGACTTAATTAATTAATTAATTAATTAAAGGACTCCTTATGTTCTCAAATACATGCTGTTTATCCTTTAATATGTTATCCTTTCTAATAGAAAGTTTGACAACAACTTGAACTTGCTTACTCTTAAACTGTACTTTTTAAGTTAGAATACAATGCTTGTTAAATTTGTATTCTGCAACAGTTAGATTTGCTCATGGAAAAAACACATTTGCTGAAAACTTGCTGCCAATGGCGAGCTGGCCATGGTGGGGCCCGACACAAAGAGCCTCGGGGCCCATGACCACCTTAATCCGCCACTGCAGGTATGCCTTGTGTTAACGTAATTCTGCCACCACGGGGCGCTGTAAGCCAGCCCTGGCGTTGGTGAATACTGGCGATGAATGAGAGCACAAGCAGTGCTGGAGAGGAGTCGTGTGGCTTTTATTTGAAGAATGAAACGCGTTTCCACTTCAGGCGTTCCGGTTCTCAGTTGCGGCTCGGATGAATCTTCGACGTGCGCGTGCTCCTGCGCGTGATTCGGAGTTGGCACCATCAGCGTCAAGTGTGTGTGTGTGTGTGTGTGTGTGGAAGAAAAGTTGCTCTGAGACCTGACAGTATGGGAGACGCTCTTCAAAGTACCAGCCAGTGCTCCGACACCCGTCCGTGGGGCTTCTAGGTGAACTGTAAACTTTTCCGGAACCGCAAACACGCGTCCAGCAGCGGGGGACCGAGAATGGACAGCCCGGGTTGTAGCAGAGACACGGCCGCGGAGAGCAGCGGGTCGGCCCGCAGAGAGGAGCCGAGCAGCGTGGGACGGTCGGAGCTGCTCACCTATCTTACCTGTCTGACGGAGAGATACCGGACCGCAAAGTTCAGCCTGGCCGCTTACCTGCTCTGCTGGGCCCTGCTCAGGTGGTACCAGGTGAGCTTCTGAACTTCTCTGACATGCTTGGCTGTGAAAGGTAGTGTGTAGAGGAGGTGAAGACAGGCACAAACCTCAAACTTAAAGGTGCCCCCCAGACATGTATTAAGACATATAGTATACACATAGTCTGCTTGGAACAGTAGTGTGTGTATGATGTTTTTTCTACAAAAAAGTATCATTTCCACATTAAAGTCCTAAAGCTCATCTATTTCTTCTGCCTCATTAAGAATTCCAGAATCTCTGAATATTCAAATGTTGTTCATTTCTAAAGTTTTCTTCCTGCTGGACACAAGATGTCTCCTCCTTCACTGTAAAGTCCATTCTCAGTGGATGTGCACTGGTGGCTTCAGGTTTCTACATCACACTGTACAAGTTGATACTGGACCAGGACTGACTTCCTAACTATTGATGTCACAAATCATGCTTGAAGGCCCCGCCCCTTAAAATATTTTTTTCAATATGCACAGATAGAGTATGAACCTATAGCTGCTCTATAGCTGCTCTATAGCTGCTCTATAGCTGCTCTCATTGGCTGCACAGTTTCCACATGTGTGGAGCTCAGTGACAGCCTGCTGGTCACAGACTGGCTCACATGTTGCTGTTAACTGTTAAAGGTTATAATGTCACTGTGTTAAGACTGTTTATTGCACTTACTGTGTTTTCAAGGATGTCAGTAAATCAGTCGCCTCATCTACCTGTTTGAGTTAGCGTACCTGTGATAGTTAAGGGGGCGGTTGTTGTTCGTGCTTGTTTTTGGTAGTGTGTGTGAATAGCTTTCGACCGGGAGTTGATGAAGTGAGATGCTTGTGCGTGGAGCACTGTACACTGCCGGCTTTTATTATTTTGCTGGCGTTGGCTACGGCCTGCAGTAACGTCTGTATTTTGTTCTCTAATAAAGAGTGAGTGAAACCAGCTGTCATGTCCATAGCTGTTAACCGAGGGACACTACAATGTGTTTGACAGCTTGATCTGACCTAGGATTAGACTTTATACGATACGATATGATACGATAATTCTTGTCGTTGGGATGACATTGCCTCCTGTATGTTGTCAGAATAAAGCAGCCTACCAGAGAAGAAGATGTTGATGTTGAATTTAAAATAGGCTCTTAATGGTTGCTAAATGACTTTATAAACACCGTGTTCATGCCCACGTGACATTCAAGTGATTTTAGTAAATTACACTGTTTTTTTCCCAGATAAGTCTAAAAATAGTATTTGTTCCACAGTGTCAGTGTCACAGCAACCTGTTTACTGTGTGTGACAGTTATCAGCTGATAAACTCACTGTGCACATCACCCCACTGTGTGGATCATCAGTGCCATGATTTAGGAATATTCTGTGGGACAATAAAAGCATCTGCACTTTTTTCACTTTTCATTATGTGTATTAAATGAAGAGTTTGTATGAATTGCATATTGCTAATCTGTGATAAAACCAAAGAGGAAAATGTGATGTTGGTGAGTCTGAGGATCTTCTCTCACTGCTGTCTGACAGATTGCGATTTATTGTAACGCATATTGCGATTGCAGTATCCACGAGTAGTGGAAATTAGAAGATTAAAATCACGATGATGTGACTTGTTGGGGTTGTAAAAAGGCAGAGGCAATTATTGTGGTTACCAAGACAGTCCTATATTGCCCAGCTCCTTTTTTCTATTTAGAAATGTTCATTGCTGTTTTATTTTTACTAAAACTTGACAATCATGCTGGTGAAAAAGCCTATAAATTGAGTGAACATTTGCAGATAAAATTAAAAATGTATTTGGTCTGCACTCTGTAATATTGTATAAAACAGACAAACAAACAGGAAAATTACAAGCATTGTGAAAATGAAGGTAATACATTAGGCCTGTTTAGACAGGGTTAAAGTCATTGTGCACAGCGTGTGTTTGTGGTATGTTTTGGAAGCATGTAAAGCAAATTTACATGAAGCTAATAATTTGCATGCTGCAGTGGTCCACCCACTACTCACAGAAAGATTAGCTGCTAAAATCTCTTTCAGATGTTTGGAATAGCTGACCAGGCACAGACCGCTGTGGAGCAGCATGTTGGTGTTTCAGATGAAATGATTATTATGTTTACGCATGAGATCATTATAGCTGACTGTGGATCCTTTCAGTGGAGAAACCAGTTTAAAACAGGTGAGCCTCATCATGACAAACCACTTTTAGAGGCCAAATCAATGTGACAATATTATACAGAGATATTACATTCCATAGTAGTGTGGTGAACTCTGCACAACATTTAGGGTAGTGCTGGGAAATTTGTATCACAGTATTATTTAAGATTCCGGCATGTTAATGGTATATCCTGAACCTTTTATATAGGTTATAAAAACTTTTAATACTGAATGCTTTGATAACTGTAGGGCTTTCTTGACCCCACAAAATGATACAATATACTGTTCCCTAATAGTCAAGTAAACTGTCAGTCGATGGGAATGGTAAATGGACTGTACCGATCAGCCGTGACCACCTGGGCACCCTGGTGGTAAGAATGTTCTGCAGCCCCATATTCAACAAACTGCTCTGCACTGTGTGTTCTGACACCTTTCTATCAGAACCAGCATTAACTGTTTCAGCAGTTTGAGCTACAGTAGCTCGTCTGTTGGATCGGACCACATGAGCCAGCTTTCACTCCCCACTTGCATCAGTGAGCCTTGGCCACCCATGACCCTGTTTACGGTTCACCGCTTTACCTTCCTTGGACCACTTTTGATAGGTAGGTTGATTGGAGATGCTCTGACCCAGTCGCCTAGCCATCACAGTTGGGCTTTTTTAATATATCCCACCCACGGAGAGGTGCCATGATAACCAGATAATCAGTGTTATTAACTTAACTAACGTTATAGCTGATGGGTGTTTTATAGCACCTTTCTAGTCTTTGGACCACTCAAAGTGCTGGGAACTACATGCCACATTCACCCACTCACACACATTCATTAAGTAATCAATCACAAACAGAATCTAACTCATTCATACACATTCAAACAGCATTGCACAGCATCAGGAGCCATTTGGGGTTAGAAGTCTTAGAAGAGTCTTAGTTGACAAAAAAGTGCCCAGAAACATTGCAACATGCATCACAATTTTTTAGAAAACCTGCTGCAACCATTGCAAGTAAGCCTGCGAAATCCTAGAGGGACTGGTTAACTGTACGAGCTACTGACACTAGGTTCCTATCAGCTGACTGCACCTGGACTGTGAGCTTGAAATACCGGGGTAGGTTTGTTTACACCACTAGCATAGGAGGTTTGGACTGCTGGGAGGAGGAGGGGCCGGAATGAGCACCACAGCCAGAGTGGGGCGAGCTGGTTTTCTGGGGCTCAGTAATATTCAAACCTTTAGTATATAGAATCAACATGTATTTTCACAGTAAAAACTGCACAAAGCTTACATTGAGCTGGTACTGTTGTAGTGTAACTGAATCCCTGTCTCATACAAATTACATGCAGCTATTTTTCCTTGGTAATTTACATATATTCAATAGCTTCGCAAATGCAAATTAGTTTGGAACCTTTTAGTTCATGTTTGATTTGCATGGGGCATTTTCTATGGGTGCAGACCAAAATGCCTCTGGATGCAACTGGATAGATCTGCAACCAACGAGAGCAACAAAATGTAATGTACAACTAGGCATGGGACTATATGAAAATTTTATATCTTGATTATCTTGGCCAAAATAATTACGATAGACAATATTATCACCATAATTATTAAAATATACTCCATTCTTTTAAAATGGCACTAAAACATACTGGAATTATCTTTGTTTTTTTAAGCAAAACACATATTTACTGCAACACAGATAGGTATTTTGGAATCTATTCTATTGCCAAATATCCGATTTGAGATTTTTTGTACTGGGGGATACAACGGGCAAGCCGAGCCTTCAGCCATGGAGACAGGTGTATGAGTTTAAAATGACTGGAAAGATGTGGGCATCCTATTGTCGCCTTGTTCAAAATAAATCAGGAATTCAATATAGGACTGTATGCTGGAGAGCTAAACAGCGATTATCGCGATAATGGAAATATACCGCAATACATTTATCGGATTGTTTTTTGTTGCGATACGGGATAATATCATATATTGTCCCATCTCTACCTTCAACCAATCAAAGCAAACAAAATATGTGACTCAGGTTTGAGCTGACAGGCAAGTCATGATGGTGCCAGATTCATCTGCTTCCTAGGCTATATATTCGGTATGCCTCCTAATCAGAAGGGAGAAATATATGTACCAGTGTAAAGCCAGTGTAAATCATTGGTTCCCAACCTGTTTCTTTTGTGACCTAAAAATAAATCAGTGTTTACTTGTTACCCCTCACATCACTGATTATTTCCTTAATGTGGGATGGCAGGGTGTTTTTAAGAATCATGTGATGCTGGCACTTTTGTCTGTGATTCTCTGCACATTGACTTGACAAACCATTATCCAATTTAATAAGACAAAGGTGTGTCAGGAAGAGGGTCGATCCACATGTTGGAAAATGTCCATGGATTTGGTTTGTGTTCTTGTCTTTGTAGTGCTGACTGCGGGGACAAGCAAAGTCATGTCTTGAAACAGCCTTCAGGCTCCTCTTTGCTCAGCCGAGGTAGAGTGGCTCACACCCAGCCTGACCGATCCAACTCCTCTACACACTGTGATATTCCATGCCCCAGTTCACAGACTTCTGCAGTGTGTACACTTTTCTTTACTGATACTTCAGATAAGGTTTTTGAGTGTGAAAAGAAAAAAGCTCTCAGTCTTGATTTCTGTTTTTCACCTTGTAGAATAATACAGGTTTCAGTATTCATTCTCCTTCTCTGGTCTGATCTAAAAGAGGGTTTCTTGTTAAGGCCCTGACATACCAAACCAACATCAAAGAAATAGCAGTGACAAAAGTCAAGTTCTTAAATGTCAAGGTAAAGGTAAAATGTCTTTGTCCTGGAATGACCTAAATATTAGCTTGATTTAATCTGAGTAGGCTTTGAGAAGATACCTTCTTAAAAGCACAGATTTATGTTTAAAATGGTATTGAACTACTTTCTCCTTGCTTCTTTCCTGTTATTTTTTTTTATCATAGCCTTTAAAACTGAGCCAACAGTATCAGCATGGCTTAAGAAGTGCTAGCTTCAAGTGATGCCTCATACGGATGTGGCCTAGTAATACTGTAGTATTTGAGCAATTTATTGGCTGTGACTACCCTCACTGTAACACATGATATAGTTTTGTGTTCATTTTATTTGACCAAGGGGCTGCAAGTCTTCTTTATGTGGAATCTTGTTTTTCTTTGAGCATCAAAGTGCCACAGATGAAGCATATGTTCCAGTTGCTGCAGTGGTTTATATGCAGTTTGTAAGAACACCATTGAGCCTTTTTATGAGGCTACACTGCTTTTGTAAGTGCTTTAACTCAAACTGAGGCTACCGTTGGTTGGGACTGTCTCCACGTGTTTTCAGAGCAGCAGTGATACAAAGAGGCTGCAAAATGACTTATTTAAAGTAATTTTAAAGGAGTGGGGCTGTGCTTTGACAGCCCCACTCTCGACTTTTACACTCGACTTTTTGGACTTTAGACTTTATTATTTTATTTTACACGTAACAACGTGTAAATTCCTTTCCACACGTCTGTACATATCAGACAGCGACCAGCATACAAAGACAGACAGCAGTATACACATCGCCTACCTTGCTCCTTCTAGTAGGACAGCAGTTGTGGTCAGTTTGATGTCATGAACAGTTGTAGGATTGTTTTGAGTGACAGATACAGACATAACCCTTGGGCTGTCCCCAAATAGCTGAGTAAACTGTTAGTCAGTGAGGAGAGTCTTAGTCTATGCACTTTTCATTAGTCAGAAAAAATCCTTCCCTTGTCACCAGGGACAAAAGTATCAGGGGATCGTTGCACCACAGACCTTTTCTCTTGTAACACAACCCTGCTGGATGTGCTAACTGTACTAGCTGCTGCCATTAGCTAGTTAGCAGTCCTATCAGCTGACACTTCCCAAACTGCGAGCTCAAAGTACCGTGGGAGGTTTGTTTACACCACTAGCACAATAGCAGGGCCTGAATGAGCACCATAGCCAGAGTAAGGCGAGCAGGAAACTGAGTGGGGCTCAACAGCCTCCCAGTGACCACAGCCAGAAACGAACAGAGTTAGAAGCCAGGTGATTTACAGTGGCTCCGACCAGGACTACACACAAACGGGTTCAAACAGGGACAGGAGAGGCATGATGGGAGAGGAGCAAGTTTGTAGCAAGTTGATGTGTAAGTAACTTTATACATCATCTATCGCATCAATAAGTACCTAAGATGGAAGTTTTAAACAATGAGACACTGTTGAAATAAATGATTATTATTTTTTTTAATTTATTATTAAATAATTGTTCAGTTTCCTTACTGGTTGTTCTGACACATTCACAATCTTAACCGGTTATTCAGTTATCATTTAATAGGTGGCTGTTAATATATATATATATATATATATATATATATATATATATGTTTAAATAAGTGAATTAATATGATAAACATTAAAATTGACAAGGAAGATCATTAGTCAGGGACAGGCCTAATAACCACACTGGAATGTGTATTCATATATTCACGTATATTCTACAAAACTTTTAGGAACATGCTGAAACATACTGAGTACATAAATAGTCAGAGAAGTCAGGGGGGAAATTTGTTCCGAATTTGATACGATTTGACTACAGCATTTGGTATTCAAAACATGAGTCAAGTATTCCATGAAAGATTAATTCTACAAAGCTTTTTAAAAACTGTTGTATTCTTCACTTCATCATTTATCTTTTTGTCTCCTCAGAAACTCAGATGCCAGCCTGCTCCTCCACAGGTAAGAAGCCAACAGAAAATGTATCTTTTTAACGTTTCTTTTGAGTACTTGTCTTTCTGGTTCTGCTACTTTGGGAGTAAAAGGGATAGAAGACTTTGTGTCCACCTCTTATTCCAACTGTAAGAGTGGAGCTACAACGAGTTGAGGCAAGAAAATGTAAAGTTTGTACAGAATATAGTTTATCTTGATATCTATGGATTATATTGAAGCCGAATTGACAAGATGACTGTTGACATATGATGCCTTTTAGCTTGTGTTTGTAAGGTAACATGTTTTAACAGACACGTTAGGAATTGTTAAAAAATGTGATATTTCCTTTTAGTTGAATTCCATCTGCTAATATGTACCATTTTTAATGTTTTGTCACCACTACAGAAACACTAGCTAATTGCTAATGTAGGATAAGGTTGTCTGACGTTGACTTGGAACATAGTTTGGAGAACTATGGGGATTACTCCTTGTGAAAGATCCTGTAGTGTGTGACCACCCGTTGCAGATCATTCATGTAGTGTGAAAACCACACTAACTTGGTAAATGGTAATGGTAAATGGTAATTCATACACATTCACACACCGATGCACAGCATCAGGAGCAGTTTGGGGTTCAGTATCTTGCTCAGGGATACTTCGACACGCGGTGGCAAGAGCCGCGGTGGCAAGAGATCTGACCACTTTGAAAGTCTTGTGTGTCCAATGCTTTAAATGCAGTTAGGCTGTTGGTGTACTAACCAGATTTAGTATCCATTATTCAAGCATACGTACTAATACCTCACACCTCCACTACAAGTAAAAGTTCTACATTCTAAACCTAACTAAGGTTAAAGTTTGTGCAGGGCAAAAACAACAGAGTGGTTGGATGAAAATGTCTATAAACTCTAGAGCTATGTTCTATATGTAGTTAAGCTGTGTACTTTCATTATCCCAAATGTTTCCAACAGTGAATTTATTGCGGTAACACTGCACTGGTAAATGGTGTAATATCCCACTTGTGCATGCGTCAGAGAAACAAGTTGAGCTAACATTAGCAGCAGCTCGACTCAACCTTTGCACAGACAGTGATTCTTAAGATGGAACTGCTTCATTCAGTCTTTTTAGTGGTTTTTATCAGTGGGTCTGTTTGTTTTGGAGAGGAGGAGGGCATTTGTTGATAATTGGGCTTCTGGTAGAAACCTGAACGAGGAGAAGCTGACTTCAGTGACGGCGATAATGGTGAAGACGACAACTCCCATGATCCCATGCTACTTCACCACCTCATCAAACTTCATCTTTTGTTATCGTTTTGATGTGAGAGACCCCCTAGTGGCAGAAATTACATATTGTACATTTGAAAGATGTGCCTGTTGAATATGTAGCAATGCCACTTTGTTTGTTAAGTTCATCTTTAACCAGTGTCTGCCTCTCAAATTCTACTGCACTATTTAGTAGCAGGCTGAAGACGTTGGAGACACATTGCCAGCAGATGCTAAAACTAAGCAGTGCACAGTGTAAGAGGACTAAATTAGTCTTTGAGGCTTTCTTGTTCACCTTTTACCTGGTTTTTCTTGTTATATGGATAACTGCTAATGCACTTTTTATATGAATTTCAAAGGCTCACATGACTCCAGCTACCGAGTGAGTAGTTGAAACCATATGGCGCCAGAGGCTTCTGATGTTGTTGTGGTGTTAGTTATGGTACCCTGTGTCAGCAGAGGACATATTTGTTCTGGGACTTCAAGAAGAACCTGAAAACAACAGTTGTTTTATATCACAGGACTAGAGTGTGTAGAGTCAAGTGGAATTGGCTGCGCAAACCTTTAAAATCCCTTGCAACCTCTCTCTGTGTTGTTGGGGCACCTCTTCACCACAGTACAAGGGAGTGTAATCGCTTCCAGTGCTGTGACCCCCACTTGAACCCAAATATTCCAGCTCATACAGTCTGCCTGTCAGCGGTCTGCCTGGTGCATTCCCCTGGGACTGGATTGCACTGTGTAAAAAACCAAACTCTATTCCACACTTTTAGGAAACAGTATGTGGAAATGCTATCAGGAACCCTCTCTATAATTTACAGAACTACAAGGAGTTAAGTCTGGTTCACTGTGGAGCTCAAAAACCACAGCACACAGCAGTAATAGAACTGTCTGGACCTGCTGAGCAATGCTGCCCAGCCTGCTGGTTCTGTTGGGTTTCCCAGTTCCCAGGTTTCCCTGGGACCAAAATCAAGAGTCTCAACAGTAATGCAGAGATACTATGACAATGTTTCTGTATTAATGTTAAAAATAACCCACTCACCCAATGAATATATACAGAAAATATACAGAAAACAAGCAACTCTGGTCTCTGAATTTTTTTTCCTGCAATTCAGATAAGTTTGGTGTTGTGCGTAAATAAAAACTAACAGCAATACAAATTTGCCACATAAATGTGAGATGTTTTACAGCTTTTTTTATTGTCACGTCCACAAATGGTAAATGGACCTGTACTTGTATAGCCTTTCTAGTCTTCCGACCACTCACAGCGCTTTTACACTATGTGCCACATTCACCCTTTCACACACAAAGTCCGTCGAACACAAACTAATATTCACACTCACTCACTCACCGATGCACGGCATCGGGAGCAATTTGGGGTTCAGTATCTTGCTCAAGGATACTTCGACATGTGGCACCACCGGGGATCGAACCCACAACCTTCCGATTAAGGAACGACCCGCTCTGCCTCTGAGCCACAGCCACCCCACAACAATTGCAGTGAAGAAGTTGTTGGCATTGAAAATCAGGATGCCTCCAATTGTGCTCTTACAGATATATATAAATGTATAAAGAAAAACCACATAAGTGGAGCAAAATCTAATTAGATTGAGATTGCAGGGCAGGAATTATACCATAGACAAACTACCAGTGCCGTTAATGGCCTGCCATGTGGCCATAATAACCCTTCTAAAATTAACTACCCACACAGCCAGATTGGTGTGCCCTGTTTTGGATTGGCCATTAAAATAAAATTGCTGATTGCTGAACAAAGCCACGTTTCCCAGTGTCTGTCATCATACTGGACATCAACAGAAGCACAAGATTTCTCCCACAAATTTATTTGTAACCAGAGACATTCAGAAAGTTAAGCCTGTGAGCATTTTGGTGCAACCCTAACAAATAAGTAGTCACTGTAGTCAGTTGCAGTATAATAGTTACTGTGTGAAAAGTTACTGTTTATGTAACATTACTTCTGCAACTTCTTGTACTCTTCACAGCAGACTGTGAAAATAGTTACCTAATTAGCATCTATGAGTCAGGTTGAAGAAAAAAAGCCAGAGGTCTTCCAAATACGCTTTGGAAGTGGTGGGTGAAACAGGAGTGATTGTAGTGATTGTGATGACTGGTAGCAGCTAACTGGCACACACAGGTTACCAACTAGCCCACCTTCCTTAAAGGGGAAAGAAGGGAGTTTGCAATTTTGTCATATTCTGCAGCCATCATAGTATCTCCTTCACACTTGCAAGGGAAGGGTGAAGCAAGAGAACTGCAATCAGCAACTGCACCGCTAGATGGCACTAAATCCTACACACTGGTCCTTTAAGCAAAAGCACTCATACCAGCCCCTCCTTGAAATGCTTCACTATAAATAAAAGTTCTGCTTTCTCCACTGTCAAACAGCTCACCACGACAACCACACTCTGTTACACTGAAAGAATATAAAAAACATAAAAGAAACTGCATGGCAGTAAGCCCTTGTTCTGTGGGGAGACAGAGATGTAAAAGTAAAGGTGATGCAGCCTGATCACATTCGATACATCAGCTTTAGTGGTAACATCAATGGGGGAAATTCCAGGCTGAACTATAAATCAAAAACTGCTGTTAGTCCCATGTGGTATACATCCAGTTTAAGGTGTAAAGCAAACTTTTTTTTTTCTTGAAGCCCCTTTTCTTATATCCTTTATCAGATGTAATCAAATGCTTTAAATCCAGTGGAAATGGTCTGGGTGTGTCGATTTTCGTCCGTTATTTTTTCTCTTGGAGTTAAAAAATAGTTTGGTCAGGAAAACCTCAAACCTAGCAACTGTGCAGCTGATCCAGAAGCCATCACAAACGGGCCATTTTCTCCTGGTGACTGTATGTCTTCCTTTCAGTGGCAGTCGCTCAGAGTGCTGTAGTCAGTGTTGTCATTTGCGTTGTCTGTGAAGGCATCTCAAAGGGCTTTGGGCATTTTAAGCTGCCAAGGCAACACTGGTGCCAAGTGCTAACGGCCACCTTCTCTATGGGTCCTTTTAACATCTCAGCATGAAGGAGCACAGCGTTTGTGTGTGTGTGTGTGTGTGAGTGTGAGAGAGAGAGTCCATCTTACAGCATATTATCAATGTCAGGACTTAAGAGGATCAACTACAGTTCACATCATGCAGCTAGCCATTGAGCTCAAGCTTTTTTTGGTGGAAACAGTTGTAGCAAAATATTCATTTGTGTGTGCTATTGATTGCAGCATCATTTAAAGGGCCAGTGTGTAGAATTTAGTGGCATTTGGCTGTGAAGATGCAACCAACTGAATACCACTTGCCATCCAAGCGTGTAGGAGAAACTATGGTTGCTGCAAAAAATGCAAAAGGCCCTATCTACCAAAACAATGTTTGATACGTAAAATATAAATATACAGGTCCCTTTTTTTCAGAATTCAGAGTTCAGCACTGCAAACTCCATCCTGTTAAAAAGTATTACCTCTCAGCACATTGACCTCCCAGGCGTTTCTTAGTTTCACAAGAAGTCCTAGAAAGCGTCTTCATTGATCACCCCTACAGTTGGGGTACCCTGGGCCTCCTCCTCCCGACAGTCCAGCTCCTACGCTAGTAGTGTTAAAGGGGAACTTGGCAACTCTAGCCATTTCTTCGCTGGTTTTCACTTTTGTGTTTTCTCAACGAGCTCCCCCACTGTCGTAAAAAAACTCACTTGCGGCACCCTCCTCCCCCTTTCTACCGCTGCTGATGTGCATTTGTTGCCATGCAACTTTTTCGTGTGGAGCAATGTCTACCGAGGTGTG